CAGCTTCTTTCATGGCTAATTCTTCCTATGTTTGAAGCGCAGATTCTGTCGCAGTGCTTGCATGTCAGAGACGTAGATCGAAACTCTGTATTTCCACTGTTTTCCTTTCGTCGTTGGCGCTTCTCAGCTTGGTTGTTTCTAAAGCTGCTCTCTAACATTATAGTTCTTTACTTTATCGTTTTCTCCCATGTTTTCCTGTCTTTAGCTATTTCTTCCCAGATGCTAACATCTACTCCAAGCTTAGACAAGCTGTTTTTGCAGGTGCCTTTGTACTTCAATTTTGGTCTTCCTCTTGGTCTCTTTCCCTGGGCAAGTTCTCCATAGAGAAGTTGATTCGGGATCCGGTTGTCGTCCATTCTCTTGACATGGCCCAGCCACCGCAATCTTTTTAAACACACGATAGTTGTCATGCTCTGGAGGTCTGCACGTGCCAACACTTCAACATTTGTAACCTTGTCACGTCACGAAATGTCTAAGATCGTGCGGCAGCATCTAAGATGGAAAATGTCGAGGCGCTTTTCTTGTCTGCTGTACAAGGTCCATGTTTCAGATCCATAAAGGAGTGTGCTGAGGACACATGCTTCGTAAATCTTGATCTTTGTTTTGATGGTTAATCTTTTGTTTTCCCAGGCTCGTTTTGTCAGCTTTCCAAAAGTTGTGGCTGCTTTCCCTATCCTGGTGTTGATCTCATAACCAAGTGATGTAGTAGAGCGGATGGTAGACCCCAGGTAACAGAACTTGTCCACTGTTCCAAGTTCCTTGTCGTTCAGCCATATATAGCTTTGCTCTGCACATTCTTGGGTAAGGATGACTGTTTTCGTAACACTGATGACCAAGCTAAAGACCTTGCATGCTGTTGATAGGCGATCCATCATTGTTTGTAGGGTTGATTCACTGTGAGCAACAAGAGCAGCATCATCGGCGTACTGTTTTTTTGTTGATCTTGGTCTTGGCCTTGAGTCGAGCAAGATTGAAGAGCGACCCATCAGTTCTCCAGTGGAGGAAGACATCCTCTGGTGACTCTTTGAATGCGTGTTGCAGTAAGACAGCAAAATAAGTGCTAAAAAGGGTTGGTGTTAAGACACAACCTTGCTTTACTCCACTGTTGGTGTTGAAACTGTTTGATGTTGAACCGTCAAACTGAATTGTGGCCTTCATATCTTCGTGGAATGAGATGATGAGCTGTAGCAGTATAGGGGGACAACCAATTTTTCCAAACACCATGTACAGTCCTGATTTACTGACTGCATAAAAAGCCTTTGTCAGATCGACGAACGCAGTATGTAATGGCAGTTGTTGCCCCCTGCATTTTTCTTGTAGCTGACGAATAGAAAAGAACATGTCCATTGTTGAGCGATTTGATCTGAAACCGCATTGGCTCTCTGGTAGGACTCTTTCTGCTAGTTTCTGAAGTTGCTTCAGGAGGATCCTAGCGAAAGCTTATCCAGAGATGCTTAGCAGTGAGATACCTCTGTAGTTGTTGCAATCTCCTTTGTCCCCTTTGTTTTTGTAGAGTGTGGTGATTTTGGCATCTCTCATGTCATGTGGAATTTCTGCTTTCAGCCAACAAGTCGTTAGTAGCTTGTAGAGATATGGGAGGAGGGTCTCTTTGTTCTCTTTCAGCACTTCAGCAGGTATGTTGTCATTTCCTGCTGCATTTCTGCAAGCGAGTTCATCGATTGCAGAGGAGAGTTCTTCTGTTGGTGTTGTATCAAGTTCTGACATTTCGGAGACCTGAGGAATGGCCTCGTGCAGCTGTCTATCAACATGTCGTTCCTTTGAGTATAAGTCTGAATAATGTTCCGCCCATCTTTCCATTTGTTTATTCTTGTCTGTCAACTGTTCACCTGTCGCAGACTTTAGAGGTGCTACTTTGTTTGCTGTTGGTCCAATAGCAACTCTGATGTTTTCATACATTTTCCTGATAATACCTTATCGCTGGCCTGTTGGATTTCTGAGCATAAGTTGTCCCAGTACTGATTGGCACACTTTCTGGTTTCTCTTTGAAGGTTGGATTTAGCATCACGTAGTTGTTACTTTGTACTCTCTATTGGATTGGTGTTGTGTTCTATCAGGATCTTACGCTTTTTCTCGAGTAGTGGTGCGAGTGTTGATGCACTGGCTTCAACCCAGTCCTCCTTGTAAGGTCTTTCTATTCCAAAAGTAATCGACGCAGAATTATAAATTGTTGTCTGGGGATGAGCTATCTAGATGTTTGAGCTCTTCTTTAACATGTTCTTGAAATTTTGCCTTTAAGGCTGGGTCTTTGGTATTTCTTATGTTGATCTTAGGTATCTTTTGTTTTTCAGCTCTTGGTGTTTTCTTTGTGACTATCTTTGCCTTTGCTATAACTAAAAGGTGGTCTGTGTTGCAGTCAGCACTGTAGAAGGATCTTGTTTGATTTACCATGTTGGCATCTTTCTTTCTGACGATGATGAAGTCGATTTGGTGCCAATGGTCTGATCTTGGATGACACCAAGAAACCTTGTGTCTGTCCTTGCCATTGTAGAAGGTGTTTGTGATGCAAAGGTTGTTATTAGAGCAGAATTCCAAGAGTCTCTGACCATTCTCGTTGATTTTTCCCAGCCCAAAAGGTCCAAGGCATGTGGGCCATACTTTGTTTTCAGTACCTACTCTTGCATTGAAGTCGCCCATGAGAAACAGGTGGTCTGCTTTTGGGACGTTGTTGACTGCATCCTGAAGTTCCTCGTAAAACTGGTCTTTTTTCTCATTTTCTGTTGTTAGGGTTGGGGCGTAGGCGCTGATGAAGTGAGCCTTTCCAGTTTTGGTTTCATTTCCATGACAGTGATACGTTCGGATATACCTTGGGGGGTGCTGATCCTGTTCAGCAATCTGTTGTGTACGGCAAGGCCCACACCCTGGATTCTCCTCTCATCTTCCCCAAGACCCTTCCAGAAGAATGTGCAG